CCCAAGAAACCATATGATGTAATCTTTTTTATTTTTGGTATTGTTAAAGCAAAAATAATATTTTTCATCTCTATTTATCATTAACTTTAGTAACCCATAAATAATATTACAATAAATCTTGAATTAATTAAATAACAAAAAAATGATTGTACTTTTGGTACTAACAATCTTATTACTGTAAGTTCCTAACTCTTTAAATAATCTATAAGATAAAATTTGAAACTCTAATGAGCTAATATAAAAATCAATTTCAGAATTAAATAGATGTTTTAGAATTGGGAATTAGCAAATAAAAAAAAAATAGAAACTGAAAAAGATGAGTTTGATCTCACAAAATTAAATTAATTGGTTATATTTAAAAAATTATTAGAGAAATTTAATATAATTATATAACTCATTAAAATAAAAATTTGATGAATCGATTGAATAATAAACTCCTGTAATAAGAAATTGCATCGAAATAAATTGCCAAAATATTTTTAAGTAAGTAGGAAAAGTTTAGGGTCATTTTATAATAAAAAATAGATATGCACCTTAAGTACTTAGGACAGGATAAAAAAAACAAGAATTAAATTATTAGGCATCAAGAACATAGGAGAATTAGCAATAATAATAATAAAATACAAGAATTTTTGTATCGTGAGCAGGATAGATAATGTATTATTAATTATGTTCTGTCTATTATTGAGTCAATATAGAATAAAAATAAGAGAGTAAATATTCAAAAAAATAGTTTAGAAAGATTTCTATATATCTAAATAGTTATATTATAATTCATAAGTTTGAAATAGCTCTAAGACAAAAGTTAAATTATATAAAGAATCGACTTTTTGATACGTTACTTTTGTGAGATTAGGTGACATTGTTGTAAATATATATTCTGTAAGAGTGAATAAATAGAATTCAAGTGGATTATATTAAAAAGCTGATCCACCATTATCAATTGGAGCTGTAGCTCCTGGATTAGGTGGTTTCAAATGATGATTTTAAACATGAGCCCATTATTTGAGCTTTTAAATTACTCATAGCATTCATTGTTATTGTATTAACTTTAGGTGAATCGACAAAAATTTAAGAAACATCATAGACATCAACTTAGGAATTTATAATGAGTTATATATCTCTTTCTTATCTTTTAGCCTAAAGCAAAATGTAATCTTATTCCGGTAGGAGTTAGGTAATTATTCAACCAATCATTTTATATATAAAATTTGCAATTCCAATCAAAATTTACAGATGTTCTTGATTCATGTCTCCATGTAGCTTAATAATGAGAAATTTTCATGGTTATCTCGAATATCAACTAATGAATTGATATATTACATATCTAAATAAGTTATACATATTTATATAATAATCTATATTGTTTAAGTAATAAGATAATTAAAATGAATGATTAATATTTTAGTTATATAATACTATGTTGTTAATATAGATCTAAGACAAAAGACTTTATCAGAAAAGGTTTTTAAATATAGATGTAAAGGATGCTTTAATATAATTTAGATACAAAAGAATATTGATTATTTAATTGTTTTGACAAAATCAGAGAGATTTAGTAAGAATTGAGTGTCATCAAATTTTTATGAAATTTTAGATAAAAATGGATTGATATTAATAATTTTATATTTTAATTCAGTTTATTTACTATAAGTATTAAAATTTATTATTATATCCATCCTTTCTAGAAAGATGTAAATTAGAGAGATCAAATATCAACTATCTAAATTAAGATTTGGACTCTCCATTTAGATAAAGAATAAAGGTCCTTTCAGACAAATGGAATCAATTCAAAATGCAATTAAAATTTATCAAAATGTTTTAGCAACCGAAAAATCTAAGGGATGAATAGTTATTCAAACTGCTTAAAGATTCTGTATTAAATTTGTAAGATTCTGCTCATCACTAAAAATTTGAAACAGAAATTTAGAAATCTTTTTTTTGTTAATAGGCATTTCAAGATAAGAATGAATGACTGTAGAATTTTCATTTGAATAGCAAAATACAAAAAATCAGTGAAAAACTAAACTACAAAAATAAATTGATGAGAGGTTTTCATAAATCGCATTGACAATAACAAAAAATCCTCATATATATGATGGTAGAAGTTAAACTAAGATTGCTGAAATTCCTAAGTAAATTTAGATTGTGAAAAATTAATTAGATCAAGGTAAAGTTATATTTAGTTCTTTTTTCAGGGCAGAATCATCAGAAAGTTTAGGTGATTAGATAGATACATAGTGAAATCAAAAAGTTTTTAGATTACTTATTAGAAGAAAAAAAATTAAGAGAAAAAACATTAGGGAAAATATGGCAAATTTACATTAAGATATTTCATTTGATAGAAGGAAGAGAAACTATAACTGAGGCATTCTAAAAATTATTAGATGATGCTTGCGTCAAACTAAATAAAAAATTTGATATTGATATTATTTTATCTATATCATAAGATACTATTTTACATTTAAATAATTATATTGATTAAAAAGATGATGTTATTTAAAATTGACAATGTGAATATTTTACAGAATTAATTATAATGATTCCATAATTGATGATTTATCATATCTATTCTTATCCAACTTAGAGCCCAAATTCAGCAATTCTTCTTTATAATATAAATAGTTTTTATTCTGAGCCAATTTTCTCTCCTTATAATTACTATTATAATCTAGAATTCTCTGCTTTCTAAAGAACAAAATATGTATCGTGTATTCTCATAAGTTCATTAGATGATGTTAATTTAACATCTTAAGTTTTCATTCTTAAAACTGATTTTAGTGTATCTTTCGATAATTTCAATACTTTGATTTCTTTTTTATGGAAATTCATCTCATCCTAAAGTCTTTAATTTAATAGTTTCATGTAAGAAAAGTTAAAGTCATTTTCAATACTTCCAGACTAATTAATTTATCCTTCAATATATGAATTTTTAAGATCCTGCAAAACTTTGACCTACCTATATCAAATCATTTCCTTTGGTAAGTGTATTTACTGCTGACTTATATGCATTGCTCATAAATGATGTTTATTACATTATGAAATCTCTAAATAAATTATTAAAATTCATTATTGATTAATCATATATTATGTATCCACCACATTATTATTTTTAATAAGTTTTTTTTTAATTCGCATCATATTTAAGATTTCAACATTTGTCAAATATTCTAAAATAAATAAAACTAAATACTTTCATTT